TTGTAAATTTTGGTCAATGACATGAGACAAAGTATATGTGAACTGCTGTATGAAAAGTGAATTTACTCTGTAAATCTTCACCCAAATCCTAATAAGAAAAAAAAAAAAACGAAAGTCTTCTGGGAATCCTACTGCCAGAAGCCACAACAACCTGATCACCATGTGCTAGGGCCAGCACTATCCAAACCAAAAAGAAGTTTCTTGTAGTGAAGCAATGGGCCTGTACAGTCAGACTCCACAGACAGCTCACCTCTACTTCCCCCAGGTGAAAAGAGACACTGTGTACTGGTTAGTAACACTTAGCAGCATACAGCTATATTGAAATACACACTGTGTACTTATTAACACTCTCACTATTTGCAAACACCATTGATTATCCCAGCAGCTCCAAGGATCAAAACATTTCTCATCAGTCTCTCTCTCACTCCATAAGGCCAGAAGACAAAATCCTCTCCCTACTTAGTCATCTTTTGCGAACTCCATTTACTCGGTAGCAACAGTCACTGACAAAGACTATACACAGGCTGTGTTATACAAACAGGAGACACCCTCTTTTCTTCCTAGCCATCTTAGTTTAGCATCAGCAGCAGCCCAACAGTGACACCTGCTGGAGAAACAGAAGCAAGGGCTGGCTCCTCACCTGGGAACTATCAGCCCTTAGAAAGCAGCAAAAGAAATAGCCAACAGCCAACTATTTGTAGAATAGTTATTTGATCAGCACTATTTGTATTAAGGATTATATCAGAACACAGCCACTTGATATACGAGAAAGTCATGGCTCTTCTTTAAGGGGGTGTACATTTAGAATATTTAAAAATATACCATATTTTTGAGTCAGCTGCCAGCCAATGTTTTATTATTTATGATCATTTATGAAGACCTCAAAAGATATACCCCAAACCAAAGACACTGGTTTCCTAGTGAGAAGAATGGAATTAGGTAGGGGTCCAAGATGGACTTCTGCTTTCTCTGAATTAATATACTGTTCTACGATGAGAACAATGGGCTATGTGTATATTTTGAAAGAAAGAAAAATATATACATATATATATACCTGTTTACAGCAGGATGACAAGGGACTTCGTTTTCTACAATGTATATTTTTAAATGCTTAAACTTTTTTTTTTTTAAACCACAAATACGTAACACCTTCTGTCACCAGATAAAATAAACACTTAAAAATATTGGGTGAATCTTTACTAGTTTCTGGGTTTTTAATGGCCTGCTTTATGAAGAAATGATTATAATTCTAAGTGTACAATATGGTAGCCACTAACCAAATGGCCTATTTAAACTGAAATGAGCCTAATTTTTTTAAATTAAAATTTTACTTCCTGAGATCACTTTAGCCACATTTCAAAGGTTCAATAAGCACATGTGGCTAGTGGCTACCACACCGTGCCACACAGACACAGAGCACTGCCACTGCAGAAGCTTTCCTGGACAGTAGTGCCACAGAGAAATATACTGATGTATTAACAGATGGCATTATATGACATCTAGGTGGGAGTTGTTGTTGTTGTTATGTGCCGTCAAGTCAGCCCTGACTCATAGCGACCCCTCCTTGGGTTTCCGAGGCAGTATCACTACGGAAGTAGGATTGCCCAACCTTCCTTCCGAGGAGTGGCTGGTGGGTTTGAACCGCCAGCCTTCTGGTGAGCAGGCAAGTGTCTTAGCCACGATGCTACCAGAGAGAGTAGATAGTGGTTATAGATGAAAGAGGGCTGCCCACGTGTGGATAATTTTTGAAGATAGATTATAGGTATATGGAAGTTTATTCATTATACTTTTCCTTTTTACATACCTTTCAAGATTTCCATAATAAAAAGTTAAAATAAATAAAAACAGTCCACTGAAAAATGGGGTTACCATATTAAGGACTATACCATGGAGGGCAGTTTGAAAAGATCTTTGAGTCATGCAGACCAGAATTCAAATCCCCACACAGTGACTTACTATATGACCTTTAATAAGAAACTCAACTTCTCTGAGCCTCACTTTCCTCAACTGTAAGATAGGAAATTAATATTCGGCTTGCACACAGTTGTTATGGAAATTAGAAATAATTAATGCAAAGTAAGAACAGCACATGTAACTAACACATAATAGGTCCTCAGTAATTGGTATCTTTAATTAGATCATAATTAATCAAACAGCAGAGTTTATTTTAAGCCACTTGGGTATTTCTCAGAACAACATATGAGAGGAGGTATTTATTGGTAAAGCAGAAGGACAAAAGCTGACCAGAAGCCCAAAGGTATTATGGAAATAATTGCTGACAGTCCTTTCAAGGCTACCATCAATAAACTTTTTAAGTGATAATATAAATCTTCACATCGGACCAATAAGCAACATCATGATAAGCAGAGAAAAGAGCTGTCAAGGATTTCATTTTACTTGGATCCATAATTACTGCCCATGGAAGAAGCAGTCCAGAAATCAAACGATGTATTACATTGGGCTAATCTGCTGCAAAAGATCTCTTAACAGTGTTAAAATGCAAAGGTATCACTTTGAAAACAAACTAAGATGCACCTAACCTAAGCCATGGTATTTTCAATCACCTCATATGTACGTGAAACCTGGAAAAAGGAAGTCCGCAAAAGAATAGATACCTTTGAATTATGGTGTTGGTGAAGAATATTGAATATACCATGGACTGCTAGAAGAACAAACAAATCTGTCTTGGAAGAAGTACAGCCAGAATGCTCCTTAGAAGCGAGGATGGTGAGACTTCGTCCCACGTACTTTGGGCATATCATCAGGAGGGACCAGTCCCTGGAGAAGGACACCATGCTTGATAAAGAAGAGGGTCAGTGAAAAAGAGGAAGACCCTCAACAAGATGGAATGACACAGTGACTGCAACAATGGGGTCAAATGTATCAACGACTGTGAGGATGGGGCAGGATGAGGCAGTGTTTTGTTCTGTTGTACACAGTGATGTTATGGTAAGAATCAAGTGGGCAGTACCTAACAACAACTGCATGCCCCAGCACTGTGCTTGCTACCTTCTCACTTCTCTTGACAAGGCGGACAATCAGAGTCCCAGGCTCCTAACATAGGTCACTGTGCAAGCAAAATATTCCAAAGCCAAGAACTGGTCCCAATCATATGGGAATAGTAACAACCTTTACTAGTTCGTCTATCTTTTGTATCCAATCAAATCTCCCTCATTCCCCACCCCAAGCCCTTAGTAATCACTTACTATCTTGCATATTCATGTCCTTTCTTCCCTCAGTATATGCAATTCTCTTAAAAGAAAAAGGTCTTTCCTTCTTCAAATTCTAGTCATCCTTCAAGATGTCATTTTGTAAAGCCTTCCTTGATACTTCCCTTTCTCTGAAATCAGACCATATTTAATCTTACTACCTGTAAGGAATCCTGGTGACAAAATGGTTAAGTGCTTAGCTGCTAAGTGAGACACTGGTGGTTCAAACCCACCCAGCCACTCCATGGGAGAAAGACCTGCTGCTCCGATAAAGACTACAGCCTAGATATGGGGCAGTTCTACTCTGTCATATGAAGTCACCATGAGCCAAAAATCAACTTTAGGGCACCCAACAACACCACATATGATTCTATCAATTTTTTATATAGTCTTACCAGCACAGTAACACTGTATACTCCCAGTGGGCAAAGTCCATGTATTATATATATTTACACACTTCTTTTGTATTCTGCACAGTGCCTAGCACAATGCTGGCGAAAGTGTAACTATTCAAAAACCACTTATTGACTGAGTGACTATCTACAGCATCCTCCCAAAATAAAAAGTACATTATGTGCACAATCTATATTCCCATCCTTGTTAGAAGCTTATGTCAGAGAAATTTCAGTTGCTTCAATAGAGGATGTAAGCAGAGCAATATGCTGTTTGGATCCAACAGGCATATTCTGGGAGTCAGTGATTACGCTAGATTTGACCTTTAGAGAATTACAGAAAGAAGTCCCTAATAAATCAAGAGAGACGTGCGCACAGCCATACACAGAACATGTGGTGGGCGACCAACTACACCCACTCTGTTTCTTCCATGAAAGAGCAGGCTGGGATGCCAATTTGAGCATGAAGAGGCCTTCCCTCCATGAATTACTCTTCTTCTCTACCCCAAGGTGGATGTCCATCTGGGAAGTCCATTCAAGGAATCTTAATTGAACAACTAATTTACTATCTAAACACATTTATCTCTAAGCAAATATGACTTTCCTTGATACATACACACACACACACACACACACACACACACACACACACGGTTTCCCTCTTTTTGTCAAGCTGCAATGTTCTAAAAGATAAGATTCAAGAGGTAAACACAGTTGTCTAAAGCAACACAATCGAAGAAAGCCAACATACTAATCTGTCCCAAGCAGGGTTCTCTTTTATTATTTATTCGGAGGCACTTTGAATAATTTGTCCTGTATATACAATCCTTCAAGGTCAAAGAGTAGGGCAGAGGAAGTCAATGGTTCCATCTCGTCATACCTCTCTAACCTAACCCACACTCTCCTTTCAAAGCTAAAGGTCACATGAGCTTAGTCCACAAGAGAGCTAGCAGAGCCTATGCTATCTTTGTTATCAGAGCAAATTTTTCCAAGAAGAGACGAAGCTAGGGATCTCAAAACCGGATGTGTGGGTCCCAGACACTCCAGATATAGCCACAACATCTCTGGGACTGAAGGAAGAGATATGAGAAAAGAAATGCAGGAGACAACGAGAAAGCACTTGCTTACCTCCTGAGTGAATCCTCCTCAGAGCTTTCCTCAGGAATATCCTGATGTAAGGCCTCCTGTGATACAGTTCCAGATCGGCTGGACTGAGTATAAATTCTTTCCCAGTGGCCTGTCTCCTGGTTAAAGGCCACCCCCACAGTCCTCTCTTCCTGCGGGCTAGCAGAGCTGCTCAACTCCAGCCTGCTGGAGCCAGGCGTTCGGCTCTCAGTCCGCTCGAGAGGTGGCAACTGGCTGCCACTTGATGGCATGCCCTCAAAGGTATTGGGGACCTGCCAGGAGGAGCTAGCCTCACCAGAGGAGTAGTTAGGTGTGGTTCTTTCCCAGCGCAAGGTATCATTGTTGAAGGTTAGGAGATTGTGGCAGGCGCGACAGCGATTCAGGTGGCCACGGGATAGATTGGAGTTGTTCTCACTGCTGTGCGGGGTAGGCTGGTGGGAGGGGCCTGGTCTCTCAGATTCAATGTTATTGTTGAGCATTTCTTGGGCCTGTTGGGTCTGGGGAGCTTCCCCACTCAGGCTCTGGTCCAGCTCCTGAAGCCGGTCATATTCCAAGAAGAAGCGTCTCAGATCACACTGAAGTTCATGGCGAATGCTGCCTGAATTGTTTTGGCTAGAGCCATTCCCTCCATCTGACTCAGCTGCCAACCCTGAAGTTGGAAAACCCCTCCCTTCTGTGGCTGAAGTGTACACAGATGCTTGAGAGCCACCTTCCTGTTGTCTCAGCACAGACAGCAAACTCACTGAAGAGGCACTGGTTCTAGGCGGGGGCATGGATTCCGCCTCAGAGCGGGAGTTCAGACTGAGCACTGTTCGGGTCCACTCAGATCCTGTCAGCCCGGGAGCTATATCTCGGTGATACCTAGAAGGGTGGCTAGACAGAGGGCCTCCCAAAGAGCGACGGGTGGGACCCAGACTGAGGTTGCGGAGCGTGTTGCCAGCAGTGCTGCTCTGGACTGTACTGAAGGCAGAGGGCCGATTCAGGAGGCCCTGGTCCTGTTGCGTTGACGAGGCCTGCTCCGGGGGATGGAAGGGCTCGGTCTGTACAAAAGAAAAGGAAGGGGTAGTAGCTCTGGCAGAAGCAGAGGGGACACTGTCCTGGTGTGGCAAGAGGGAAGGAACTCGAGTGCCAGAGCAGCGGTTGCAAAGGCACAGGATCCCAAGGTGCTGGCAGCACTCAGCTGTGGGGTAACTGACCCGCTGTCGGAGCCTGATGTAAGCGGAAGTCCTGGGGCGCTCCGTGGTGGACTGAGGGGGAGGCGGTGGGGGTGAGGGGGTGGCGGAATCTTGCACCGTGCTTTGCTCTCCCACCTGGATGCCAGAGGAGCGGGAGGACAGCATGTGCAGGAAATTATGGAGGAGAGGTGTCCGACGAACTGGCTGTGATTGCAGGAGGGCACGCTGGCGGTAGTGGGATAATTCCGTCCCATCTATGGGGATCTCTGGTTCATCATCACCCTGCAACATGAACCAAGGTAGGGCAGGGAGACAGAACAAGGCAGTTAGGCAGAATCTCTAAGTAAATCAAGGAAACTAACTACTGATAATCATCCAAGGAAAATAATCTTCATAGACAGACAAGAGCTTTTTATCCCTGAAACACTGAGAACTACTAACTGGCTTACAATTCAGAATCATCATATGCTATTAAAGTATTCACTTTCATTTAGCAACACATCTGAATAAGTACAGCTGGCAAACCAATTCTCTTGCAAAAGGCATCTCCACAACACGGCGGCAGTGAAAGGAATCAAAATGTCAACTATAGCTGGAGACACATGAATGATAAGCCTTCTAACAATGCCTGGTTACTTCTAAAGAAGCACTCACTCAGAGGTTTCAGAATTGACTCCTATATCAAGATTATGACCGTAATTTTGAATACACAATCTGAAGCTAGTTTCGGATCTTGACTGGAAAGTAGTACAAGGGCACTGAGAATTAAAGCCCAATACACCCCAACCTCCATGACCCTGAGACCAGAAAAATTAGATGCTGCTTGGCTACCAATGCCAACCGCCCTGAAAGGGATCACAACAGGAGATCTGGGAGAGAGTGGGAGAAAAATGTGAAACAATACTCAAAATCACAAAAAAAGAGAAAAAAATCCAGGCTTCCTGGTCTGATAAAGAGTGGTGGAACCCCCGAGACTATGGCCCTTAGACACTCTTCAAGCCTGGAACCAAACTCACCCCTGTGGCTCTCAACTTTTAGCCAAACAACTGATAGGCCTATAAGGTGAACAGTTACACCAGGTACATACATATTCCTTAGAACAACCAATCATTCATGATCCAAGGGCAGCATTTGTCCAGGGATAAAGCTCAGAAGGCAGGAAGGGATAGAAAGAGGATGAATGGAAACCGTAAACACAGGGAGGAAGTGGGAAGAATGCTAATATACTACGGGAATTGCAACCAATGTCACGAATCAAAAGGTGTACAGAAAACCAATTTGCTCTGTACACTTACACCCAAATCACAATAAAAATTTTAATACAGCAAAGCCAAGTCCAATATAATCAGAAATAGAGCACTAATTTAGAAAATACTCATAGTTTAGATGGAGTTGAAAATGACAACTAACTTACCTGCTGATTAGAAGGGTTAACAATTGCTGTGAGTAAGTAGTCGATTCCAACTCATAGCAACCCCCATTGGGTTTCTGAGGCAGTAAATCTTTATGGAAGTAGATTGCCCAGTCATGCTTCCGCGGAGTGACTCGTGGGTTTGAACCACCAACCTTCTGGTTAGCAGTCAGATGCCTTAGGCACTGTGCTACCAGAGCTCCATATAATCAGAAATACAGCACCAATTTAGAAAACACTCATAGTTTAGACGGAGTTGAAGATGCTGACTAACTTACCTGCTGATTAGATGGGTTAACAATTGCTGTGAGTAAGTAGTGTCCAAGGGGATCAAATCTCACCAGACTGAAAAAACAGAAGATGAAAGAGACAAACAAATACACATAGGGAGATTATGTTAACTGAGAACAGAAAATTTATGTTCTAATTTTACTGATAGTTGTGAGATTACCTAGGTATCTATTTTATGCTAAAGACTTTGAAAACTCTCCAACAGGTAAAATAACAAGGCTCAATACTCTTGTTACTATCTTACATTTGTTAGAGTAAGGGAGTATGTATCACCAAAATAATTTCCTTTATTTAAATACACAGGCTCTTCCATTCTCAGGAAATAGCTACATTAAGCATGCCATTTGTCACATCTAAGAGCCCATTGTAACAATAAAGTGACAGAACACGCCCATGTTTTGCCACTGATTTAGCTCTCTCCTCACATAGCAGCTACACTGTTAAGAAGCCTGAGTGCTAACAAACAGTCCTAGCATCAAATATCCAACTGCAATACCAAGAGGACCAAAAGAATGCAATTCATCAATTTTAATTCAGGCAGTATGTGTTTTCTGGTAGCATAGTGGCTAAGACACTTGCCTGCTAACCAGATGGCTGGTGGTTCAAACCCACCAGCCACTCCTCGGAAGGAAGGTTGGGCAATCCTACTTCCGTAGTGATACTGCCTCGGAAACCCAAGGAGGGGTCGCTATGAGTCGGGGCCGACTCGACGGCACATAACAACAACAACAACAACAACATGTGTTTTGATCTTAAAGGCTACATAAATATCAACTAGTAGATTCCATACATGCTTACATCACTATTTTCTAGTTGATAAACAGAAACAACCAGGATGAGCAATTTATATTGTTAGCAAGCTACTAAACTACTAAAAGACTACCTAAGTATCTTTCAGGTTTCCCAAAGAGAGGGTTCTATCCTGAATCCAAATAGCTTTAAACCTAAAATGGATTCTAATGACCCAAGTCTACAGAGAACCAGAAGATGAGGCCAGTAAGAGACATCAGAAATGAATGAAGTGAATTGCTTCCCAGCTGATTGGCCAGCAACCTTACAAATAGGAGGAGTCACAGGGATAATAATCTGCCCTAAGCAGAGATAGTAACAGGTGTACATGTTCTCTGCCATGTTAGTCCTGAGCCAGACATTGTTGGTAGTACAGCGTACTCACCGGACCCGTTCCATCTCACTTGCTGTCTTCACTACAGCAAAGGGCTCCCGTCGACTCCAATCCCAGAAGTGGATCTCATTGGCAGTGGCAATGAGGAGGAGCTGAGCCGTAGGGTGGAAAGCCAGGGAGGCAATGGCATTGTTGCTGTCTGTGAACCAGCTTTCACTGCCACCCTATGAAATGAACCAATCCCAAATATACTTAGGTTACAAGAGGCCAGCAGACAGGGAAGATAATTTCAAGAAAGGTCAATTTAAAGTAAAATGACCACTTGGAAGGGATGTAAAAGATCTGTAATCTGGCAGTGCTGCCCATCTATCATACAACTGTTTCTGCCAGCTCAGTTCTCATCTACAAGCCACAATGAACATACCCACAGTTCTCTTTTCTGAGGCCTGCAGTAATGCAAGCTTGGTGTACAACAACCCACTAGCCAGCCGCCAGGAACTAAGCCCTTTCCTGGTGGACCAGGAGCATCTTGCTTTGACAAATATAATCAGAATTCAGTAAAATCCTTGCATTAAGACAACAGAAACCTATCCTGAATATATCTGAGACTCTCCTATACTATATTACAAAGGGAAAATAGAAAAATAGTTTAACAGGGTGCTCATATTAGACTGGAGAATTATGGGCTGAACTCCCTATCAGTTAAGTAGGACAATGGCTACCAGAAACTCAGATATAGCCCTAAAACTTGGTTAGTCTCTCCTCCAGGATTAAGAACTCAATGATAAACAAGTCTCTGCATTTAAAATACCAAAGGAAAGGGCAGCCAAAGGAAACACTTACGTGTAAATCCCAAATCCTAACCTCCCCATCTAGGCAGCCAGAAGCAATAAGGCCTGAGATGGTGGGATGAAAAGTAACACACCATGGAGTGCGGCGGTGTCCAATCAGAGAGTGAACACACTTGCCGGTCTTCACCTCCGTAATATAGATATTATGGTTCACATGGGTGGAAGCCAAGAGAGTCCTAGGGAATTAAAGAGTAGGAAGTGAATTGAGAAGCATGTGGGAGGGTAATAAACATTATCAGCTTTGGACAACATAAAAAACTGATACTATTATTCCTCATTCCAACATGAAAGAAACTATAAGCCTTGGGCAGTAGGCAGCATATCTATAAACAACAGAAACATTCTGATTGTTAAAAGCATTTGGCTTCTCCACACTGTCCTCAAATGACTTATAGCACCTTCAGAGAATATTTTTTCCAGCTGGGAAAACTATCACACCATTGGTGGCCTACAGTACACAGGCAAAGAAATTCTCAAACTTCTGATCCTTAATGTTAGTTTCCTTTGCTTATTCTCATTATTTTTATGGTTAGCACTGGTTATTCCCTTTCCTGTACACTGGCACAGCTCTGTTCACGCAGTGCTTCCAAGAGCCATTAGGGCTCTGACTAGAAAGACAGAACTAGGTCAAATATTCAGAAAGTAGTGCCATCACAAGTCTTAAGGTTAAGTTATAGGTAATACTAGATACCTGTCTGGGCTGAAGGCCAGTAAGAAGGTAGATCGTGGACTATCTGGAAGTTCTACTCTCTGGGAGACAAAAAAAAAAAAAAAAAGGTAAAATACATTATTTATAAGTCATGGCTCAACCTATTTCAAAGAACATGAACTATTCTAGATTAGAATTCACAGTGTAGGCTTAAAAACTAGAGACAATGATCAAGGTACAAATTTAAAGAGATGAATCTAAATTACCTTCAGGAAAAATATCTAGCTCTAAAAGGAGAAAGTTATTTCTAGCCCATAAATTCTTCTGAATTTATAAACAGCTCCCTCGGTTAGACACATAAATTCTCCCCCTAAGATAAATTACACTCCAACCCTCTGTCATTAACCCATTCTAAGGCCCCATTCTATCATCACTCCTACAAATACTATGTCAAAAATATTCACTTGGCTTACCTTGCCCTCCCATTTCATCCACCGAGTTTTATCTTCCACCAACTCCTGCAGAAGCCGCTGAGCTCCCAAAGCCCGAGTGCCCCGTTCTCGCCCCCACAGTATCCGAACGGCATTCTTCTCTGGGACTACCTTCATGGCGCTTGGTGGCCACTGTCACACCAGGCACGTGAAATGAAGGAGCAAGCAAGAGCTCCACAGACTCTAAAGCAGCTAAAATGAGGCCATTCAGGTCCTTATACGTTGTCTTCATGGAACTCTAAGGAATGGAGAATAGTGTCAAAGAATCTCTATTCTGCAACCAGAGAAGCTCCAACTACAAATACAATTCTAGCTCAAAGAGGTAAGTTTTCCTTTTATACTTGACACTTTCTCAGAAAAGATCCTTCTCCCAGATTTTTCATACAAAGATATTTCATCCTCAAATTCCTCTCATATTCTCTATAGTTCAGCCTCACATCTAAAGAACAGAATGTTCTCTAAAGCAGATATTCTATTATCCCTTTACCAGGCAGGAGGAACGTTTGCTAGTTAAGAAGAAGATAAAAAGGGCTAAAAGAGAAAAAAAAAAAAAACAACACCTGCCCTCTTCTTCCATGTTGTACTGCATCCCTAGTTGCCGGCACGCGTCTGTATCACTAAAAGACTGGTAACCAATTTGAATAGGGTATTACTTAAGGTTCGGTTCTTAAGTAGCAACTATCCCCTTCCTAAAATCAAGTGCACAATAACTACTTTTGGATATCTTTCTCACTTTCCCTTCCTATTCATTAAAGGTCCAGGGTAGAAGACAGAAGGAGAGAAAAGAAAACATTTACAGTTCCTTTTTCTCATTTAACACAAGCCTTAAGGGCATAAAACTGTACCAAAAATAAACATTCCACTAAAATGTCAATGTGGTGGTTAAGTTTGTGTGTCAACTTGGCTAGGCCTGGTTGAGTGGCTGGGCAGCTGGATGTAGTATTATTCCCCATGATGAGACTGGTAATCAACTCCATGGTGAATCTACTGTGAGCAGCTGAGTAGCTGCCTTTGGGATGTGGTCTGCTTCCTGTATATAAGCAGAAGCCTTGGGGAATGGTCTCTAGCTTAAGGCACACTTGAACCCTGGATGTAGCCGTGTTGTTGTTCAGCAGCCTGCCATGCTCTGCCGACCTTGGGACTTTCAGTGGACTTGAATTAATGGCCTGCCATGTGGTTTGGTAACATCAAGATTGCCGTATTATTTGTTGACCTTGGGCTTGTTAGCCTCAGCAGCCAGTAGCTGTCTGAGCGAAGAGATGCCTCTAGCTTCAGTGGGCCAGGAACAAGAGGCAGAGCTAAAGTCCAAGGTCAAGGGGCTTTCACCCAGTCCCTAGAGCCTGGCACTTTGAACTTGGACTTAAAGCCTCCACGTTGTAAGAATAAACTCCTGTTTATTCAAGCCATTCCATTTGTGGTATACTCTTGTCAGAGCTGCACTAGGTAACCAGAACAGTCAACCAGCAAAGAAGCATGTACCCTAACAAATAAATTATACATTATGGTTCCTCCATACAAAGGAATATACACCCCAACAATATGGTGTTTCAAAAGAATATCTACATATGTACAATGTTATTCATTGTAACTTTGTTTCTTCAACTCTATTAAGAAAAATTTTAAATATACAGAAGTTTTAAAAAACAGTACAATAAACATGCATTATCACCTAGCTTTAAGAACTATTAATATTTTGCCAAATTTGCTTTATCTATACCTATGGATACAAATATGGCTATATATGCACTTTTGTTCATTTGTTTTTGTTTTTTAATGTTTATTGTGGTTTGGGTGAAAATTTACACAGCAATTTCATTTTTTATACAGCGGTTCATATATATTTGGTCTCATGACATTGACTGCAATTCCCCACAATATAGCAGCTTCTCTTCCTCCCTGTGGTTACCTCTTCCCTGTGTACTTCCCTCCCATGCACTCCTGCCTCCTGCCCTGAGCTGTCTCCCTTCTCTCCCATGATCGATCTCCCCAAGAAGCATATCAACCTGATATAAATGTTTAGCCCATATGCCAGTCTTTCATTTGGCTGGAAGCCACAGGAGTGAGTTCAGTCCCAGACGTGAAGGGCAGTTAGGGGCCCTAGTCTCAGGGGTTTCACAGGCTCTATCAGACCAGTAAACTTTTTTTTTTTTTTAATAATTTTGAGTTTTGTTCTGGATTGTTCTCCCACTCTATCCAGGACCTCCTACACAGATCCTCCTCCAAGTGGCTGACAGTGGTAAACGGGCACCACCTAGTTCTTTGGGTCTCATGGTCATAGAGGCTGAAGATCACATGGTCTACCAGTCCCTTGGACTAAGTGTTTCCATGTGTCTTTAGTTTTCTTCATTCTTCTTCGTTCTGGACGAGGATAGACCCATCGTTGCATCTAGATGGCCGTGTATATGCATTGTTACAACTTTTTTTTTCCCCTGAACCATTTCAGCACACACCAAGGCACTTTATCTCTCCATACTTCATTATGCTTCTCCTAGGAATTAAGGACATTCTCCTTCACAACCACAATACCATCATCATATTTAGTATCATCCAATACTTGGTCTTCTTTCAAATTTTCCCAACTGTCCAAAAAAATGTCTTTTATAGATAGCTTTTTTTGGATCAAAACTCCAATTAAAACTCAAGCAATAAATCTGGACATGTTGTTTCTTTAATCTCTTTTATTCTACAATGGCTTCAGAATTTTGTTTAGTACACTGGTGTTTTAAAAAATCTGAACAGTTGATTTGTAGTAAATTTCACATCCCAGACATTCCTCTTAGTGCCATTTACCTTGCCTGCTCTATCCCTGTAGTTCCTGTAAACACCAGGTTAGGTCTAAAATCTTTTTTTTAGAATTCATTTTTTTTTTTTTAATTGTGTTTTGGGTGAAGATTTACAGAGTAAAATCTTGATTAGATTTAGGTTTAATGTTTTTGGCAAGAATGCTTCAGAGGTGATGCTATAGACCTCATGATGCAGCACATCAGGTGATGAGTAGTGTCTCACTGTCTTATCATTAGTGATACCTGGCTAAGCATGATCACTTGCTTGAGGTTTTAACACCACAACTCTCCTTTATAAAGGTACACGTCCCCCTTACAATCAGTAATCTCTGACACCATAAGACTACCTTGTTCCTTTAATTTTATGGTTTAGCATGTGTTCTGGTTACCTAGTGCCACTCTTTTCCCAGGATGTCCATAAATATACTGAAAAAGCAGGCTACACCCCTAGGGAAACGCCCTTTCAACAGATTGGCTGCTCAAAACATAGACATCTGATCCCATCATTGGAACAACCCACATCACAACTGCTTAAACCATACAGAATTGTGGTCCAGCCAAGGTGACACACAGCTCCAACTATCACAGCATGTGTTATGGATTGCATTGTGTCCTTCCAAAATGTGTTGTAAATCCTAAGCCCCACAGGTAATGGCTAAATGCTCAGATGCTAACTGAAAGGTTGGTGGTTTGAATCCACCAGTCACTCCATGGAAGAAAGAAGAGACAGTCTGCTTATAAACATTTACAACCTTAGGAACCCTATGGGACAGGTCTACTCTGTCCTACAGGGTCACTACAAGTTGAAATCAAGTTGTGAGACTGGAGGCTAGGTCACCAGTATTTTGAATACCTATGGTGGACTTTTCACTGTTGTTGTTCTTACGTGTGATATAATCCATCTAGGAATAGGGTTTTCTTTGTTATATTAAGGAAACCACACAAATATAGAGTGTGATTTAAGCCAATCACTTTTTAAATACAAACAGGGCAGATTAGGCACAGAAGCAAGGAAACAGAGAGAGGTGATGTAAGACGCTACTGCACATGAAGGGCACCAAGGAACCACGGAACACAGCTCAGCAGTCCAGAATCTTCCACCAGAGCTGACAGAGAGCAAGCCTTTCCTTAGTGGCAGCTCCCTGAGTTCAGACATCTAACCTCCTCAACTGTGAGATAATACATTTCTGTTCATTAAAGCCACACACTTGTGGGATTTCTGTTAAATAACTAAGACAGCATTCACTGATGATTCTTTCTTGAATCATTTCATGGGAGAGAGAGAGGGCTGAAAAATCGTGATTTTCTAATTCTATCATTATTTCCACATTTATTAGCAGTCTTTCTTCTGTGAAAAAGAACTTTCCATCAATAACAGATGCAG